AGGGACAGGTTAGGAACAGGAAGGAAGATCTCTAGCACTTTAATTTCACCCTCTCCACTAATATGACTCCTAACTCCATCACCACAACTCAACGAGCACCTGATAAAAACACACTCTTTTTTAAGCTAAAGTTCAGCCCTGTACTCAATGTCCTTATTTATAAATGCTTTCGCCTTTTGTAATTTCTTTATCTACTTATACTTTACAGTACTCTATAGCCAACTGAGCTCATGAACCCACACACAGAACGTCCCAAACTTAAACATTAAGGCAATCTGAAGGCTAATTTGGAAAATGAATCCCAATACATGGGAAAAATACAACCTTGGGCAGACTCAAAAGGACCAGTAACTGAATAATTTTGACACTGAAGCGAAATAGAATCAAGACTCTTTAGGAAAAGTGAGTGATGCCTCCATCCATCTATCCAGCACTGACTTCATATCTGGTATTGCAATCGGTCACATGTGACACATCAACCAAGACTTCTATAGTTATCCTCAATCATTAGTGCCTTTCCATTCAGGATGTACTTTCTTTCACATTTTCCTCTCAAAATTTATCATCTCACACTTCTTCCCACAAATCTACAACAGCCATCTGTTACTTTTCTGTCCCGTTAGCCTATCTATGTCCTCCTTCAGTCTTTGCTTTTGGCCAAATCCTCAACTGTTAGATTTTGGCAAATGTTGATCCTGGGCTTATTATGTCAAACTTCAAATCATCTATGAGTATCCAGAACAAAAATAAGATTGAGATCCTTTTAAGATCAGATAATTGGGAAGAATAAATGCCACATGCATATACTGAAGGTAACCTGGAACCTGACAGAGCAAACAAAACAACAGGTACACATACACCCATAAAAACTCAACTGCATTGCAAGAAACCTGAACTATGATTTCCCAAAATACAATCCAACAAAAAGATTCTAATGGCTTCAAATTTCACTCTGCACTATTAGTATTCCCTTTAGTAAAATAAAGACTTGAATCTATATAGCACCTGTCATGACCACCAGATGTCTCAAAGCACTTTACAGCCAACTGAGTACCTTGTGACATGTAGTCACTGTTGTAATGTAGGAATTGCAACAGCCAATTCATGCATAGCACACTCTCGCATAAACAGCAATGTGATATTGAGCAAATCCTATGTTTTTGCAGCATCGATTGAAGAATGCGTGTCAGCCAGGACACTGGAGTTAACTCTCCCGCTCTCCAAACTAATACCAGGAAATCTTTCATGCCCACCTGAGAGGCAAACGAGGCCTTGGTTTAAAATCTAATCCAAAGGCAAACACTTTAGAAAGTGCAGTACTCTCTCAGTACGGTGCTAGTGCATCAGTATAGAGTTTATACTTAAGTACCTGAATGTATCTTGAACTCCCCCCAAGTCAGAGGAGTTAAGTATGGATAGTAGGCTGGAAAGTGGAGATTAAGCCAAAGATCAGCCATGACCAATGAATGGCGAAGCAGTTTCGATTGGCCATATGGTTACACTCATATGCTCCAAAGAACCTTCAATTGCATTCTTTCCTAATCTTGTGCAACATGGTTTCAACTCACAAACATTCATTTTTTTTACATAACCTGATAATATTCAGTTCCCTATCTGATAATTCAATTTGTTGAACTCCTCAGATCTACAACGCAGTGGCACACTGGCTTCTAACAACATCGCTGGATAAATGTTGCTTGCATTTTATCAAATAGAGCAGCAATGTGTGAAAAAAACCAGAAAGAATAAAAAAAACTCAGTTTTCCACTGGTGAAATATCCTGTAATAATCTGGTCCCGCATCCAATATTAATGTGCTCTACTAGTGTTAGAAAATATTCAAATTTTCTTCTCACTTCATATTACAACAAGTTTGTAGTTACAGTGCATGGCCCCTCTGCAGCATCCATGGACATGAACCCCATCCCCTTCACACATAATAAAGCTCTGCCTGTGGGTACATACATCAAGTTCCATTTCTGGTCACTAAATCTAAGATCTCTTCACTGTACATACAGTTTCAGCCAGTTTGTCAGAACATTTTTAAAATTGAGCTTAAGTTTCTAAATTGCCCAGGAGGTCCAGTGAACTCCCAGAGTGCTATTTCAACTCAACTTGACACAGTATTGGAGTTGTAGCCCATAAAATGTCAAGCCCAAGGGGTCTAACATTGCAACATCCTGAAATCAGATCAGGTCCTGATTCTGGAGTGATATTGTCACATTTCACAGCACCACAAAGCTGACAGTATAAATGCAGCCTATAACTGTCACGGTAAGAGATGACACTTATTCAATCTATCTTACTTTTGGGAATATTTATTGTTTCACACCGCTGTTAGTGACATACCTTCTATTTATCAGTCAGAAATACATTTACACTGCTGAGTATTATTTTCAAAGGGAAAAGTTAATTGGATACAAGAAAAATAACAAGGATAGTATTTCTTGTTAGCCATCAGTTGTAACTAGTTTCTCTTTTTGTCCTTCTTCATAAACCAGATCAAAGACTAAACTGAAAGATGGATCTGTTGAATAGAAAGTACTTGCACCATCAAAAATGGCACAGTGCATTAATTCAGCAGTTATTTTATTAAAACTGTAGCTGGAAGTTTCTTCCCAGCAGGAAGATGACTCCACTGTTTGGTTTTACTTCGTAACTTCCAGAAGTCTATGTTATAGGGACATTGGAGCTGTTAAATCAACAGAGGAAGGGAAAATATGTTGAACGAATTAAAATAAACATGATCAGTTCTGAACACTGTGATTCATAAAATGATCAGCTGGACATTATTTCTTCCAAATGCACTCTTTAATTGACTAAATGAAGCAGGTTCACTTCTTGATGAATCCATCACCCATGTTTTATCGAAGACGCAAATTTCAATAAATTAATTATAGAGTAAATGAGAAACATTTTCACTCCATTTGGGAATGTGCTGCAATGTCACATCCAGGCTTTATCCATGCAAAAACATTTGTGCTTAAAAGTTCTGTCAATGTATGAGTGCACCTGTATCGCTATGACATCAATCAATCACCAACATTATAAAATTTATAGCAGTCCTCATCTGAAGAAATAGATGTACGTAATAATTACATTTTTTTTTTCATTTTTGCAAAAGCAAGGCAGGCCCTAAAGCAGCTTATATTTATTTTTAACCTTCTTACATTGAAAGTTCCTTTTGCCAATTTTTCAAAAATATATTTGTTCATGGGATGTGGGATTGACTGGCTAGGCCCGCATTTATTGCTCATCCCTAACTGCCATTGAAAAGTTGGTGGTGAGCATCTTCTTGAACCACTGGAGTCCATGTGATGTGGGTACATCCGCAGTGCTGTCAGGAAGAAAGTTTTACGATTTTGATCAGGCAATCTTTGGAAGATGAGAGATGCAAATCCGAGTCAAGACTTGGAAGGGAGCCTGCATCATGTGACTTAGAAGGGAACCTGTAGGTGATGGTGTTAGCATGTACTTGCTTCTCTTGTCCTTCCAAGGGGTAGACACCTTGAGTTTGGAAGGTGATGCAGAGCTGGCACAGTGCATTTATAAGTGATGCCCACTTCTGCCACTGTGTGTTAGTGATGGAAGATGTAAATATTTGAGGTGGTGGATGGGATGACAATCGGACAAGCTTTAGGGAGACTGGAGGTGGGCTACTTATCACAGGAATCCTAATCTCTGACCTTCTCTTACATTCACAGCATTTATATGGCTGTGAAATACAAACTCAGTTTCCAGTGAGCAGTAATACTCACAATGTTGATAGTAGGGGTTCAGTGATGATTAAGCCATTGAATGTAAAGGGGAGGTGCTTAGATTCTGTCTTGTGGAAGATGGGAATTGCCTGGAAAATTGGTGGAAGAAATAATCAGAAAATGAAGGAAAAAGATTAAGGAATGTATTACAGCAAAATGCATAATAGCACTTTTTCACACCACTTGTACGTTTCAGAAATGTATATAATGAGCTATTAACAAAAATTCAGATTAGTTTTGACAATGTTGTGTACATTCACTTTGAGGAAGGCTACTGTAATGTAATTCCAGTAAGGTACTTACTTTTGAGTCTTGTGTCCAGATCAGACTTATTAGATAATGTTATATCATATAAAACATCTGTTGAGGATTACCTTTCACTTCTTTGGTTTCATTTTGCTGTTGGAAGAAGGATGTCTTTTTTTCATTATTCCATTTTAGCGTGTGATTTTTTTTACTGACAGCTATGATGAACGGTATACATCTTCAAGTCAGCATGTCTGCCAGACAACTCAAGCAGCTAAAGTGTAAAACCGTGCACACTGACTGTTCTTAAACAGATAGATTTCTCACAAGTGTAGTCTGAAACAATTGACATCATTTGGTCGTGCCTTTTCTATTGCTTATGTTTCTCAAGTAAACACAAAAACTTGAATCCAAAAGGTCTTTTTGAAAAAGTACATTTGTACGATAGGTTCCTAATCTGTAGATTTATGTAACTCATCAGATGACCTGTCACAATTCAGCATATTTTGCTTTAGAAGGAGTAAGCCTTTTTAATCCAATGATTGCACTTTTTATCGGGTTGAGATGAACGTTGTGGCGAAATAATTAAGGGATTTGGTCTGGAAATAAAGGAGAACTAAAGTAAGCTCTGTGATTAAGGTCATTTGAAAAGGTGTGTGAAGTTAAATGCAGCTATCTAAAGGGTTCCCACTTTCATCATCTCAGTAACAAGGTGTTTTTTTGAAAAAGAATTAGTTAAGAAGGCTGAAGGCAAGGTATTCAAGATCAAGTATGCTACTGGCCAATCTACGGAAGCTTTTCTTCCATGTTTCCAAGTAGAATTCCTGAATGTATCCCAAGTTCCAAAGGATTTGCTCTCATTTTGCAAGTCGCAGAATGGGAACTTGCTCCAACATGCTAAGTTGGAATGTGAGGTTTAGACACCGGAATGCAAGGTTTAGATCAAGAACAAAACTACTGTCAGTTACTGTGAGGATAATCAAGACTGAAGCCTCACCTCTTCCTTGATCATAGGTTTGGAGCAGGAGTTTTTGTTGATGAACTGCAAGGGTGCCATCGTGTCTGTCATGTTTAATTTCTTTTTCTGCTGAATTATGATATGCTGAAAGGTTTCTGGTGCTGATGTTAAAAGCAGGATTTTCAATGCCTTCTGCTGCAGATCTGTTGTCTTTTACTGCATCCGTCAAAAAAAAAACAAGGAGGTCAGGGTAGCACATTATGAGAAAGTACATTACAATGACATCCAGGAAAAATTTCTCCCCGTAATTCCTTTTACATTCCCTTATCAAATATGCAGACAAACACATCATCCTCAAATGTCACCAAAACACAATTAGGTTAAAATTAAATCTGAAGCTTAAAAAAATAAATGATTAAAATAATTACAAATTGCGCCCTGACATGCAAAAGCAAAATTTAGCCTACAGCCATTTGTCTGTAATTAGTTAATTAATCCTTACACAAATTATGAGCAATAACTCATCAAGCAAGGCTCACCCATCAGAAATTCAGCCGACTTTGATTTCTTCTGCTTAGTTTGCTTCTGAGCCTTCTGCTGGAACTTCTTGAGGGAAATTGTTAAATGAATAAATTAGCTCCAGAATGAAGATCATCATTTATGATCCACAACTAACGTCTTATTTTAAACACAGGACAACAAGGAAATGTCATTTAATTTACATCTCTGCTGAAGGGTCAAACATTAATTGAACAACAGAAGTGGAAAATTTATTTCAAAAATAGCCCCCAAAATAAAGTCCTTAATAATGAATACATAATGAAGGTCATTGGACTTCCTCAATCTGTTTTATATTTTGTTTGTACGAATATATAAAGGCTTAACATTTGAAGTGTTCCAAATGTGTTAAGGTTTTTAAATTGTGTGTTCCAACTGAGTTACTCGAAGGTTTTCCGGTCATTTTTTTTTTTGCATCTATTTCTTGGTGCCCGCAATTTGTAATTAATGAACCTTTAATCTGGTCATTGATCATTAAAGGCCATTTTCCATTATAATACTTCTGAATGCCTACTCAATATTCTACTTTCCCTTCAGCAGGCTCTGCAGAATTATTTGTGCGGCTGTTCCTTTCAGGCATGCATTGGAACTCAAATCACAAAAATATTTCTGCCTCAGTGTTATTTTTCATTTCCAAAGCATCACAATGCTTCCAACCAATCGATGGTATCAGTTCTTAAACTCAGAATACACATTCAACGCACAGATTATTGCCTGGAACTGAGACTGTGAACCATAAAAAGCACCACTTCTGTACCAACTCTCACTAGCTAGTGTTGAATACTGCGATGCTATTGCTTAAGGTCTTTTAATAAGTTCTCTGTGTGGGCTTTTTTTATTTTGCTCTTTTTTTTGTGGGGTGGAAGCAATTTATAAAGCACTACTTAGAGACGTTTTCTGAAAACTCAATAAGTGGCACACAGATGGGTCAAGATTACAGCCTTTTAATTCCCTTCAATGGCTGGAACAGATTAGTACTGTCCTAATGTGGTTACCTGCAAAAAGAATTTTAATATGTACTCTCTTGTCATTACACCATATAAGATTTATCATTATAATTTCTGAAATAGCCAACTACAAATGCTCCTTGTGCTGAATAATACAACACACAAAATAAAAGCCAGTCAGAAGGTTTTTCATTTGATCATGCTTTGTCAGGTTGACTTTCCAAATGCATGAACCCCAATAAGCATACTTCTTCATCCAGCTTCCTTTTTATTGTCTTCAGACTACTGTCTCACCCAGTCGAGAACAGACATGGGAATCATCAGCTTTTATCTCCATTCCATTACTGCCAGCCCCGCCAATTCTTAAAATATGCTTTCAGTCAGATGTATGTCGAACAGGGCAATTCTTTAATCTTACATAAAGTGAACAAGCATGAAAGCTGACAAGCAAAAAATCAAAACAGAAATGCACATAACTTCTGAGGGAGAAAGATGGGTTCAGTTTTTAGGCATCATTCTCATACTTGAGCAAATTCCTGTTCCACACACTTTCAGAATGCTTTGTTCTTCATCAGGGCATATTTATCAACGTGTATCCAACTGTTCTCTGTGCCACATCCTCTGATATGTGCAGTGCTTATACAGTAGCTCACTGATTAAGGCAAAATAAGCCTCTCAGTAACAATACCTAATGGTATGACCATGGTTTATCTACCTACTTAAAACTGTGCAGCTCATAAGGAAGAACTTAATGCTTAGCAAATGCTCAATGGAAATGAGTGCTCTATTGAAAGGATTCTGTTGCAATATGGAAATCATAGAAAACACTTCTACCTAACTCTCATGATGTTCCATAGCAACCATCACGGCATTCTAGGAAATAGTTAATTCATCACTTAAAATATTTCAATATATTTTGAGGTGATATATAATTTATTCTTAAGTATATAAACAGAAATTACCTACTTGCTGTGATTGAATATTTGTTTTTATTATTATTTAGAGATGCACTGGTCCTGTAAATATCATGGTCATTAAAAATAAACATACATCACAAACCTCATCTACTTAAATGGAGATTTGAAATGTTAAACATTAAGCACCTACTGGCTACTAATTTAGATACACATACAGTAATCTCCGCTTTCTTCTGTCAGCAATGATTTCATTGAGATAGCATTTATAAACAGAAAAAAAAAGGAATAAATAGAACCTAACAAACTTGCACCAAAGGAACCAATAAAACAAATGTGTTAAATAGGAAACTAGTGATAAAATTCCAACAACCACCACATAGAGAGAAATATTTGTTTTAAAGTTCAATGGTCTTAATGGTGGAACCTCCTTTATGCACAAATGTTGTGTCTTGCACTAATTTTAGTATGGTGTGGCATACCTTCTGACTATTTAGAAATAAAATACATGAGAGGGAAATGCTTGCGTTGTAACAAAAATTCATTTATAACCAGTGACAAGTAAAATCTACGAAGTTTTTAAAAGAATGTGATTGTTGTCAAAAGGAATTTGGACACAACAATGGCATGTTCAGTTCTGGTTCCACTCAAAGCCATAGCTGAGGGCTTTGGGAAAGCTGCTGCAAGGCTGGTGGGCACAGACCAGCAAGGCAAGGAATTTTGCATACTGTACGGATCATCGCTCAGTTCAGGGCAGTCACATTGAATCTGCAATCAAACCAATTGTGCTTCATGAAACCGTCAGCCCTAATTTATGTCTAACTGTTTTCTTCTGTCTTGTTGTAAACAAGCTCCGCTCTGAGCTGTCCGCACTGCCCTTATCTGTTTCCAAAGATCACACGGACAGACCCTATCAACAGCTCAGCAGCACAACGTAAAGTTACTGTTTCCCGACTGCAGTCTATGTGCAAATTGTAAGTCAAAGAGAGGAGTAACTTTGCAGTGGCATAAAAATTAATTCATTTGAGCCATCCATATCTTGGTTTCCTACCCAGGCTGGCAGGCCTTACCTCAATAACACTAAATCAAATTAAGTTGCTTTAACTGTTTCTGCAAACAGAACTCCTGCACTAACAGGCAAAATATGTCAATCTGGATCCAGGTCAGTCAGTGAGACAGAAACCAAGACATCTTTCTTGGTGGGTAGAGTTTATTAACTGCTCAGTCCTACAGCTCCTTCCACACAACAGTCCCATCTGTTTCCTCTACATCTACACAGTCAATTAATGAATTAACACCAAACACATGCTTTCTAACTTGCTACATTAACAAAGCAATGCGAATGATTCCCATTACTGCTCTTGAGAATTAGTTGGGGAGTCTGCAGGCCAAAGGTGGTTACAGTTAAAGTTTTCATCTGTCCTGATTTCAAAGCATGCCTTTAAATGGCTTTTGGAGGTTTCTCAGGTAACATGGTGGTCTGGTTTCTGCAATGACTCTTCCTGACCACACAGAGAATTTGGTACTTACAGCCACTCCCTTCAATCCTTATCCTCCCCTAGAATGCTTTACCTTCCTTTTAAGCAGTAACTTCTGTCTCAGCGCATTAGCAGAATTGCCATTTTCTTCTCCAAATCAGAGAAGTGTTTCTTTACTACCAGCCAATCAAATTAAAATTTCATCCCACTGTAAAAATGGTACAGCCATCTCACATGTCATGAGCACTTATAGCAGATTCTGCACCCACCCAATTCACACAGAACTGGAAAACTGCCCCTCACCCTAAATGCCACCACCAGCACCCCTCCCCATTTCACTGAATGCCATTTAGAATTGGCCCCATCTCACTAAAAGTGAGTCAGGATGTCATTAAATTCTTAATGAGTCTTATCCGACAAAATGCGAATCTTAGCTCATTGCAAACAAGTCTTTTAAATCTAACGTTTACCACACCAATTGTCTCATCTCATCAATTTTGAGTCTTTTCCCACTTAACGTAAAGCCTACCTCAACAAATCTCAGGCCCATTCCATCAAATTTGAGGCTTACTGCACAAAATGAGAGGTCTACCTCACGGAGTGTGCAGAACAAAAGAACAAAAGATGGGAAGACAACTAACAGAAGGAATTCGCTGATTTTCTATCAGGATAGAGAAATGCTCTTGTCATGTTTTGGTTTCTAATTGAAATGGGTGGCATGGTGGCACAGTGGTCAGTACTACTGCCTCATGGACCCCAGGAGCAGGGTTCAATTTCAGCCTCAGGCAACTGTCTGTGTGGAGTTTGTACATTCTCCCTGTGTCTGTGCGAGTGCTCCAGTTTGCTCCTACAATCGAAAGACATGGAGGTCAGATGGATTGGCCATGCTAAATTGTCAATAGCGTGCAGGCCAGGTGGATTAGCCATGGTAAATGTGGGATTTCAGGGTTAGGGTCTCTGGTTGGGCTGGTGCAGGCTTGATGAGCTGAATGGCTTTTTTTTCACACTGTAGGGATTCTCTGTAATCTGCTAAGGTAGTCACAGAAAATAATGATAAACAAAAACAGGCACTGGTGGAGAAATTCAGCAGCAGCTGTGGACAGAAAGCAGAGTTAATGTTTCAAGTTAGGCAAACTTTCTTCAGAACAGAAAACGAGTAATTAGCTGATCTTGTGATATTTTATGTGGTGCTTGAGCAATACTTGCATCACCATTAGTCATGTTTCCTTGCACTTGGATGCACAACAGCAACATAATACAGTGACAACATAGTTAATGTATAAGGTATGCTGCTTAATACACCTGCTGTCCTCAGCAACTGCAGTCCCTGGGCCAATTCCAACAGTCCCTTCAGTTTGTCTATAACAAATAAGGCCAGGTTAGGTATCAGGATTCTCGCTCTGTTGGGATTAAATCTACTTTCTTTTCAGGGTACAGGTTGAATGTGGATCCGATGCTAAGACAATTAAGAATTCACGACATCTTTAGTGACGATTGCCAGAGATATGTATTTTTTCCTTGACAAGTCACAACTAGTACCATTTCATTCTTAACAAAACTTTACAAAGCAGCCAAATGCAAAATGCCAGCTTGAATTTAGGTGGTACACTTCACTTTTGTCATGGCATTGTGCTCAAGAGTCAAATATTGTGCATGTTATATGCAGAGGTACAGGCAACACTGAGTGTTTCATAAGATTGACTGGAATG